GACAATCTTCTGGTTGGCGCAGAAGTCACGTATCACGAAGCCGACAAGGTTTCCATCCGGGTCATAGAATAGAACACTCTCGTCGGCCTCCGCAACATAGGCGAGCTTGTCCTTGCATAAGCGGTGGACTGGCCAATGCCCCTCGCGCTTGTCGTGCAGCTTATGACTGCTACACCACGTCTTCCATTTGAAGTACGCCTTGGGACCCTCTGCCACCCAATGCTGAGGCGGCGGATAGGGAGTAGCATGCTTCTCCACTGTGACCCGCTTGCACTTCGCCAGGAACGCGCTACGCTTCTGCACGTCCGCATCGGAGCTCCCCGTAATGTCCAAGCGGCACTGGTGCACCACCGACTTCCGCAGCCTCTGGTATTGGGCCCTTGCAGCGCGGAAGTCTGCGGCAGCTTTCCCGACTTCCTTGGGCACGCATCCGCCAGAGCGGGAGCACTGGCCCAGAAAGTCGGAGAAGATATCACAGTGTGGGGACGGAGGCACGGGTAGGTATTTGTTGGCCAGCTCCCATAGGTTTTCTGTGACCAGATTGCGGCTGTCCGGGAAGAGACAGCGCGCAATATGGTCAAGCAGAAAGGGTCTGGTAGCGATGGCCTGCAAAATCTTGTGCCAGGCATGCTGGACAGCGGGCGGATCACTCACCGCAGCATTCTTTGAGTTCTTTGCGCTTCTCCGGCCCATGGAGATGTATGACTACGGTTAGGGCGGCAATGAACCTGAGTAAAGCACTCCTGTGAGTCTGCTGCACCGAGTTCTGCAGAACATCGAGCCTACTCAAAAGATGCTGCAGCTGGTCGGAGAAATCAGGTAAGAATTGAATTATTAAAAGCATAATTTAACTCACTGTAAGGTGGAAGGGGGACTCGCAAAGCACAGGGACTTCTCCGGGGATATTGGGAGCTTCTTCGGGGGTGGCCGCACAGAGAAGGAGGGCGTGGGGGTGCCAGCAGAACGCACGGAGGCCAGCCATAGCCGCCCGAGGCCACGCTAGGACAGCCACGTGGGTTCGGGCCGGTGTTCGAGGCCGAGAACACCGAGGAAGCCGAGCCTGCGCCAACAGGCTGGCACGGCAGTGCCGGCGCCTCTTCCTCCTCTTCCTCCTCCTGCCAGGCCATGCTGCCTGCGCCGCGCCTATGCTGCTGTCCCCTAGCACGCGAGAGGATGCTCCGCCTTGCTCTGGCCTCGCCGAGTGAGAGCAGGACTTCTCGGACGTGCGAGGTTAAAGCTGGCATTGCCGGCCACCCCCATCCTCGCACTCTGCTACCGACACACACCCCCGATGCCCCATACCACCCTCAACTTAAGCAGAGGGTACTTAGTAGCTAGTCTCGCTACGCAGCTAGCTACCACAACTGCAAACACGTGGCCGCGGGTTGGGAGAATGGCATGTGTGGTTGTTTACAGGTGAGCACACATCTGTATTCTGTTCGCAGACTTGTTACTCACCTTTCCAGCTATTAGCGGTGTGAATGCGCGGCCAGCGCGCGAGCACCACAAGATGGCGCAGCCATGGGGACACACCAGCATACCGCCGCTGCTGTGGCCCTCCCGGACAACCTCTCGCGTGGCAGAATAGGGCACTCACCGCAGCCGCAGCGGGCAGCACTTAAGCACAGGGGGCCAGTCAAGTCCCGCATTGGCTTGTGCGGCTGCATGGCCTGTAGAGCCTCGGGGTTGCAGGTACGCGCTCTGTGGGAGTTCTCCAAGGTATGACACACATTTTCCCCGCGATTCAAGCTCTCTAACATGCCTAGCAGCTGCTCAAAGTTGGTCGTGCCCCTAGGCTGCCCTCAATGCCCCTCGTTCTCGATTTCACGACGGCTTGATGGTGCAGCAGCGTCTCCGCACGCTCACGTTACGGCTCCTGCGACCGGCACGGCTATGAACTTGGCTTCCACAGCCTGTCCCCAGGCCCTTGGCCTCTCTCCTCTCGATTCCGCGACGGCGTCACCGCCCAGCCACCTTCCGACGACTTCTCCTGTACTATACGACTCCCCAATACCTGCGACCGCAATCTTGGCCCCCCACAACCTCTCCAGGGCACTTGGAAGACACAGCCGCGTTGAGGAGGCGAGATGGGCGCCTATGTGCGCGCCGTCTCCTCCTCGACTTGTGCAGCTTCCCGACGACCTCGCACTGCGCAAACAGCCTCAAAACTGCGTCTATTACCTTTATAGTTTATCTGGAGGGGAGTATGCGCCGTATCCGGGGCGATTCCAGTGTCTGGGCAGATGTGAGAAGTGTTTGAGTATCGCGCCCCATCCGGCACTCTCCCTCGCGATTTTGCGCTTTCGCGGAATTGCAGCCACGTCCACACAGTCCCACGAATATGGTGCGTCCTTTAACTCCTCGTGTGTGCAATTCCGGCGTCTCACAACTCTTACAGCGCGCTCAGCAGATGTTTTGGTGCCTACAGCTAGATCTTGGGCTCCCGCCGCCCTCCCTTTCGATTCCGCCACAACGCGGTGTCGCAGCCACGCGACGCGCATCATATCGATACCCGATGACTCTGGAGACCGCGTACGCGCGATTTCGGGTCTCCAGCCGTCCTCCTCACAGCCCGCGGCCGTCCTCTGCTGCGACAGCCAGTGCTGGAGCCCTGGAGTCTTCCAATCACGATTTCGCGCGTTTGCAGCCGCGAAGCTACCCGACGCAGGCTCTACCGACATCCTACAACACCTTAAAGTACTCCGTGCGATCTCGCCGCCCTCCGCTCCCTGCGACGTCCTCGGAAGAGGGTTTTGCACCCAAAGCCTCTTGCAGCCACCCTCCTGCTTGATTCCACCGCAAAGCAGTGTCCCAGCTACGCGACGCGCACTGTATCGACACCCGGCGACCACCCGGCGACTCTGGAGACTGCGTACGCGCAATCTCGACCCCCAGCCGGCCTGCTCGCGGCGCGAGGCAATACTCCGCTCCCCAGGCTCCTGGCACCGTCGTTGTCGATTCCGCCACATCGCAGCACCGCGGCCACGTCGAGACGTCTCTACTGAACTCCCACGACGCTCAGCGGGCTCTGTGCGCGATTCCAACGTCCCCTGGCGCGTCCTCGGCGCTCTGTGTTGGTCTGGGGCTGCCAGCCGGCTCTCGGGCTCCCGACGCCATCCACGCCCACACCTGAGTGACCTGGAAGCAACGCGTTCGCGTGCAGCCGACCCCTGGCACTCCCTGTACACGATCCCAGCGTGCCCCAACATCCTGAGAGCGCACGAGCCTCGGACCTTGTGTCCTGGAGTGTCCTCGGATGGCCCCGCCCGCGATCCCACCACTTTGCGGCTGCCCAGCTGTGCCAAGACGGACTGTACGGCGCAGAACGATGCTGCAGTACGAGCACGCGCGCGTTCGGCGTGCCTGGATGCCTACGAGGGGTGCGGCGGGGAGGACTCTGCACCCACGGGGAGTCCCTTAGGCTCTGAACGATTCCCGCGCGATTTCACGATGACGCGCGCGGCGCAGGGATGCGCATAGTGCGCTGGACACGGTACGATGCGGACAACGTCGAATCGCGCGATTCGGACATGTTTTGACCGTTCAGGAGGCATTCTCGTGGAGGGGCTCCTCTGGGACTTGTTTCAAGTTCCCCTCTACAGCTTCTAGTTCTGCCTGTCCGGGTTTAATACGTTGCCCCTGTACTGTACAAGTATGCTACGGTGGAATACGATGCGATTTGGACGGTGCAAGTGCGATTTTTGACCTCCAGTGTGCGGATGGCGGAGAGCAGCCAGCTGGCGTCTATCTTGATCGCGTCCCGTGGAGGTCTGCACATGATGTTGTTCCTCCTCTCTCTCTCGCGTTCTGCCTCTCTTCCCTGCTCTCGCTCTGCCTCGCTCTCTCTCGCGTCTCTATGCTCTCTGCAGGTCAGTCTTGGTCTCGTTTCGCCCGCCCGCCCGCCCCACACAAGTGCAGGCCAGTGCTCGTCCCTCGGCTGGAGACTCGGCCTCGATCTGCACGGCCTCGCTCCGCCTGCCGCTCTCCTGCGCGGCCTTGTCCGCCTTGGAAGGCCACACGGACGTCTCCTCTCCCGCTGCGCTCGCTGCTCACACCCGACAGCGGCTCTCTCTTGCATCCTCGACCCTGCCAGAACGCTTGGCAACAAACAATGCCCCTCTGGACGACCCCACCACGCTAGGACGTCCCTACTCGCCCTCTGTCGACTGCGACGGCTCTGGGACTAGCACAGGGCCCTCTCCCCGGCCCTTCTCGACGTCCAAGTCGTCTGTACCCCGCTCTGGACGCTCTCTCAGGCAGTATCAAGCTCGACGCCTCCCTCGCTTGGATAGGCGCCCGACACTCCCTCTCTTGGGCAGCTCGCCTGCCGGTATGTCCGGGCCCTGTCTGTTAGTGGAGCATTTGATCCTTACGTCTGTACTAGCAAGACGACACCGTTTGGAGCCGCAAATCTCGTGAGCAGCACGCAGCACTCGACTCCGCGCCCGCGACGCGCCACGAGCGGGAAGAACACGGCCAGTACCGGCCTCGTATGCAACGTCCTGGGATCGACTGAGAGCACGGACGTCTACAGGATCCCGCAAGAACGAATGTGATCCGTGCAGCGGTTCGCAAACGCACATCCGGGCTCACCACGGTCCCCACCGCCGACGCGCGATCTGCGCGGCTGACACGGACGGCTGCGACGCTCGACAGCACAGCCAGCACACCGCTCGTCGGGCATACAGCCTGCGTACAGATTTGGTGAGCATTCTATCGCTCTCGAGGGTTGTGTGCTGATCGTTGTGACCTGCAGGCGCTCCTGCTCGCGCCGACGATCGCAAACGACTACCACACGCACATACACGCGTGCAAGACCGTCCTGCAAGCACCCCACGACGTCGCACTCACTCCAAGGCCGTTGGAGGCCGCTTCTTTGCGATATTGACCGAGGTATGCTGCCGGCCTACCTGCTCTGCTTGTGCACTCACTAATTCACGCTGGTTTCGTTCAAGGACATCATGTTCCATTCTTACGATACCCTACGACCGCTACAAGACTATCTACAACCCGCACAAGCCGCAACGTCCTCGCGCAGACGTCCGCGCGCTGCGACGTCTTATGGGCGCCTATCCGACTACCTGCCTCGCGGACCCACTCATCGGCCTCTTTCCACTTCGACTGGCGCGATTCGTCCGTTCATCACTTACAGGACCTGTCGTGGGTATGTGTGAGAGTTTACGCACAAATCAGCGCACTTACCGGCCCTGTAGCCGCCTTGCTACTCGGCACACCTCCAGCCACCCCCAATCCTCTCCCATCCCCGGGTCCCCACCAAACTGCGCGAAACCTGGTGAGTCAGCAAGTATATGGGCGCATTACAGACGAGATGGCGTACCAGGGACCAGGTATTTGCGTCGGGAGACGTTTGCGCGTTCGAGACACTGCGGCATGATGACCACCGCGCCCCTCGACTACTCCGCTACCTATCGAGTAAACACAGCTACGATATCATCCCGTCCGGCCTCCTCCCACTCACCCGCTGCGCGTCGTCCCAGAGACTCGCTCTGTCATGCCTGTGACGCCTCGGTTTCGACTGTCCAGCACGGACCTGCGAAGGAGGCGAGTCACCAACCGTTTCCCCGACTGTCCCTGGGTCTCATAGCCTTCTCCAAGGCTCTCAACACTCTGCCCCTCGGTTTCGTGACGACACAGCCGCGCCAACACGTTATTAGACACCCGGCACGAGTCCCAGGTGCCCAGGTGCGTGGTTTTCGCGCTGTACGACACCAACAACATGCTCGAGCTCAAGCTCGGCTCCCAAAGGCTCCTGACACTCTCGCTCGCGATTTCGCAAGAACGCGTCGATGCGGACGCGTTTCTACGGCGCGACTGGTACTGTGCGACACTGAAGGCTCTACACCCGCGATTTTGGCAGCCCAGGACCTCTACGACGCCTGTGAGCCCGGGAGTTCTCTCCCACAGCCAGCTCTGGGGCCTCGAGTCTCCAGATCGCGATTGCACAACAACGCCGCCATGCCCCGCCACCCAAGCGGGTTCTACGTAAAGGGAAGACTCGACGCTCTCCGCGTGCGCGTTTTCGCGGCGATCCGGCCACGGCGACACTCAGGAGGGTTGGATTTGGTGCCTACAGCCAGACTCCAGGACTCCGGCACTTCCCTGCACGATTCGACGAAACGAGCACACTCTGCCAGTCTCACACGTACGGGAGGACTATGCCCCAGCCCCATGCGCGATTACTACGCCATATGACCACTTCAACACCCTGGAGGGCTGAACCTGACTCCTGCAGCCAGCCCCCGTGTTCCCCGCTCTTCTCCTCCGATTCCCGCAACAGCGCGACGAGTCTTGCGCGCCTAGACACACTCGATGGTTCCTCACCACGCAGGGACACCTTCGCGCGCGATTTTGGCGTGGCAGGACGCGTACGAGGCATGCGAGGGGCGAGGCCGGGTGGAGGTAGCTCCCATGGGCTCTCTGCCGGCCTCTGCACGAATTCGGCGCGATTGACACGACGGCGCGGCGCGGAAGTGGTACCCCAAACACGCTACAATCCGGCGCACATTGAATTGCGCAATTCGGACGAGTCTGGAGCTCCCGGGAGGTGTTCGAGTGGGGGGAGCCCCCTGGACCTGTTCCCCGTCTGTAGCCCGTATAGTTTCTCACCCTGCTGCGAGACCCGGACCCTGTACAGTACGAGTATGCTATGAGAGAATTCCATGCGATTTGTGCGCGCGAAGCGCGATTTGCAAAGTGTCAAGTGCCTGAGGGAAGAGACAGGCGGTGAGGCACTCGGCCGGCACCTCAGCTCAGGTTAGGGTTCCGTATTGGCCGGGACTGCTCTCGCGCGCTGCTCTCTCACTGCACGCTTGTCTGTGCCTGCTCACTCTGGCTTGCCTCTCTTACATTCACTTGCTCGATGCTGCTCGCTCTGTGGCGTGTTCCTTGCCTCCCACCGCCAATCTTGTTTGCCCATGCACTGGGACTCGATCTAGCTGCTCTGAGCTCCCTGCGACTGCTCTCTCACTCGATTTACTTTCTCTCGCGCGTCCTGGACCCCTCAGCTGCTAGTAGACCACTCTGGACGCCAAAGCTCGCGGTTTTCGCATCTGGCACATGCAAATGGCCTAGCACGACCTGGGATTCGTCTTACGACCTCCAGGACGTCTCCTGCTCGCTCGAATCGGCGCCCTATCGTCGGCCCTTAGGCTGCTCTTCAAGCAGTACGTCCCCGGCCACTCTGTTTATACAAGACTCGATTCTGACGTCCCTCTTAGCTCGGTTATGCCCGCAGGGCACACACATGTGCAGCACACAACATGCGACCGCGCGTCCGCGCGAGGAAAACCATCCGTACTGACAGCCCACGAGACGTCCAGCGACAGCCCTCGTCTTTGTAGGATGTGCGGCGGAGCGGAATCGATCGGTACAGCCGTTCGCAGGCGCCCTCTTTTGCCGGAATAGGCGGCCTCTTTTACACAGCTCCTCGTGCGTATGGCCCCACACTACTGATATGCAGTATGTTCCTGACATCTTTTAGAGCACCAACACGTCTTTTGCAGCCGGAATACCCTCACGGTTCGCGGTTCGTGGTTCGTGCCAGACGCGAGGACACGTCTGGTCATACGGGCGAGAAGCCGTCTGAATGAGGTAAGCACACCCGCATATAGCTCGAAACACGTCGTAACACTCACCCTGAGGGCTGCAGATAATATGACGAACATGGGGTGTTGCAGTCACTGGCGCGATACACTTGTATGTGCGTGGAGGACGGGTGCGGGCCCAGACGCGAGTCCACTGTGCTGGCTTGCGGGAGGCTGGATTGAGGTAAGCACGCGCTCTACGAGGCCACCTACCACTCCTGACTTACCTGGACTGCCACAGCTCTGCTCGCAGAGTTGCTCGTCACATACACATCGCGCGAGGTCGTCTATAGGTAAGCACGTGCCGGTTCCCTTCTCGTAGACTGCTCACTTACCTGCACAGCCAGAACACGGGACAGGGCGGCAAGATGGCGCACTCGGCAATGACGGGGGCACGGACGACAAGCAGCCAGCTCTCGAGCGCGGGGATTGACATCCCCCAGGTGCTCGCAGAACCGCCGGCTAAGCCTGGAAATCAAGCGCAAGGAGGGGCAAGACCGAGAGCGGCGGGAGAATCGGTGCAGAGGAGACGAGAGAATGGCCATGCCCGAGAAAGGCACGGTGGTGGGGCGCTGCCCTGGGCGAGTTGTGGGTGGCGGGATGGTGCCTATCTAGGCATTGTCTGCCCCACGACTTGTGCGGCTGTGCGGGGCACTCGCGCCGCGCGTAGAGCCTCGGGATCGGGTCTGAACACCCTGCGGGGTAATTGGAAGGTACGACGCGCATTGCTATCACGGTTAGAGCCTTCTAACACTTCGTGGCGCAGCTCGAAGTTGGCCTCACTGGAGTTGGTTCCCCGGGTGGCTCCCAACACTCGACTGCGACTCTCAGCCAGCTGCCTGCGCAATCTCGACGTTCTCAGGTGGCCCAGTGCTGGCCTCTAGTCACACGGCTAGCCCCGGCCCCGCCAAGTCTCTCCCCCCTGATTTCGCGACGAGCCACTCTTCCTGCTCCCACGCGACTCTCTGCCATCTGCGTGCGTAATGCGGGTGCTCCAAAACCTCCGCAAACGGCCTGGTGAGGGACTCAGCCATTCCATGGCCCCTCGAACCTCCCCTCGCGATTCTACCAGAACACGGCAACTTGTCCGTGTCCGCATGCGCTCTGCAGCCCCGGACGACTCTCTGCCACCCGCACGCGCGGTTTCAGCACCCCCGGACTCGTACAAACCATCTCGCAGCGGACTCTGCCGCCGGTTCCGGGGCCCCGACTGTCCCGCTCTCGATTGTGCGCATCCACGACGACACCGCCCCGCCAAGACGTGTTCTATGGCACGAACCGAGTTCTGGCTGCGTGCATGCGCAGTTTCGGCGCCCCGTGACGTCGTGGCGCCGCGCCAGGCCATTTTTGCCTAGGAACGGGATATATCGCTTCCACAATACGCTACGAAGGCCACAAGGCCGTAAACTACGGCCCAAAACAAACAACATCGCGCAGGAGACCCCTCGCGGCACCCGCCGCGCTACGGGCGCCTGACCGCGACTTGGCTCGCACACTCCCACCGCCCGTGATCGACGCGGACCGCCCTCGTCCTTTGAGGCGGCCGTACACTACGACCTGTATAGAGGTGCGTGAGCCGCATTATTGGGCGATATCGAAGGAACTGACCCCCCAGTCGCGCTCTGCACATCCAGCCCGCCGCGATCGCCTCTGATCGCGCTCCCTCGGCATCCGATCGCGACGACGACCTGGTAACAGGTGTGTTAGTCGACTTATGCGTGTAAATAGACGTTCCGACTCACCATACACCAGACACGTGGGCCTGGAGACGCATACGCATGCTGCCGACAACCTGGACGCCGAACGATGCGTCCCAGCTGTACGCGATGTCCGAGTACCTCATATAACAGCTATGGACATCTACGCTACCGCCCTATCGCTCTCCACCTCGCTCGCGCCACATCACGACCCTCGCCCACGCCTTCAAGCTGTCCTCGCTGCGCAACGCGAACCTACAACAACTCTGTCGCATCTCTGCCTCTCCCAGTCTCAGTCTTGACTCGTCCGCCCGCCCCACGCACCGTCTGATCGCAGACCAGCGCTCGAGCACTCGTCCCTCGGCTGGAGGCTCCGCCTCGATCACACGTCCTCGCTCCTCCTGCTGCTCTCCTGCGCGTCCTTGTCTGTCTTGGACGGCCACACGGACACCTCTGCTCCCGCTACGCTTGCGGCTCCGCACACCCAATCGGGCTCTCTCTGGCATCCTCGACCCTGCGAGAGCGCTTGGCGACAAACAGTGCCCCTCCGGACGACATCACTACGCCTAGGACGTCCCTACTCGCCCTCTGTCGACTGCGACGGCTCCGGGCCCTCTCTTTGCACCTCTCGCTGTGCTGGACATCCGTAGCCCGTTTGGACGCCCTTCTTCGGAGCGTCAAGCTCGACGCCTCCTGCGCTCGGATAGGCGCCCGCCGCACCCTCTCTTGGGCAGCTCGCCCGCCGGTACGTCCAGGCTGTTCCTGTTAATAGAGCATTCGATCCTTACCTCTATTATAGCACAACGACGCCGTTTGGAGCGGAACTCTCCTGCACATCACGTATGACTCGACTCCGCGCCCGCCATGCCCCGCAAGTAGGAAGAACAGGCAAGTACTGGCCTCGCATGCAACGTCCTGGGATCGACTAAGAGCCCTCAGTTTGCATCATCCCCTATGGAACAAAAGCAATCCGCACAGCCGCTCACATATGCACATCCGGGGCTCGCCACCGTCCCCACCGCCAACCTGCGATCTGCGCAGCCGGTTGGCTGTGACGCTCGACGACGCAGCCAGCACACACCTCGTCGGGCATGCAGCCCGTGTACAGACTCGGTGAGCACTCTGTCGCTCTCGAGGAGTGTGCACTGACTGCTGTGCTCTACAGGCTCTCCTCCCGCGCCGACAACCGCAAACGACCACCACACGTACACACGCACATGCAAGACCGCCGCACTCGCCCCAAGGCCGTTGCGGGCCGCTTCTTTGCAATGTTGACCAAAGTACGCCCACCGCTTGTCTAACCGCCTTGTGCACTCACTCATTCACGCTTATTTCGTTCAAGAACAGCATTTTTTATTGCTACGATATTCCTCGACCACTACGAGACGATCTACCGGCCCTACCACCCACGACGTCCGCGTGGATGTCCGCGCACTGCGACGTCGTACGGGCGCCTATCCGACAACCTACCTCGCGGACCCACTTATCGCCTTCCATCCACTCCAGCCGGCGCGATTCCTTCGTTTATCGCTCACAAGATCTGACATCGGTGAGTGGGAGAGCTTACGCGCAAGTCGGCGCACTTACCGGCCCTGTAGCTGCCTGTGCACTCGGCACACCGCCAGCGAGCCCCAATCGCCTCCCATCGCCGGCGGTTCCTGCCAAACTGCGCGAACACCCTTGAGTCGGCAAGTACACGGGCACATTTAGACGAGCTGACGTACCAGGGACCAGTTACTCGCGTCGGGAGATGTGCACGCGCTCGCGGCCCCGCTGCATGACGACCCCCGGGCCCCTCGACTACTACGGTACCTATAGAGTACACACAGCTAAGACACGATCCCGCCCGGTGTCCTCCCGCTCACCCGCTGCGCATCGTCGCATCGGCCCGCTCCTTCGCCCCCGCACGGCCTCCGTTTGTCGAGCGGCAGGCATCTATCTACGGAGAGGAGCGGCTGTGGAGAGCGCGAACGTGCTTGCTGCGTGTGCGTGCAAGCTGCATTCGCAGTGTGTCTGAATTCCGACCGCCCTCCCAGCATGCACGTGCCGCCTGCAGCCCGGCCATCCACGCAGGTTGTGCAAGACATGATGCTGTGTCCGCCCCCTCACAATTTTTCGCATCTGTTCGCACCTCCTTCACCATTACGCGCATTCTGCAACACGACACGACACCAGGGCGCCCCTGTGGGCAGGTTTGGTGTTCCCGGATGCCCGGGGATGCAGCCGTATGGACTTTGCGCCCACGAGCGAGGACACATCCAGTCGTGTCCAGACTCGGTGTACAAGAGCTGCAGCGCCGTCCGGGGTGTAGCGGTGTGTCCTTTTGACATCCACACGTCGCCGGACGCTGCGCGAAGCTCGTGGGAGCTCCCGGCCACTGTCCCGCCGCAACTCTGCCAACCTTGTCGCCCTGCACCCCCTACGCCCTCTGCTACGCTCTCCCGCTACTCGCAAACTCGCACAACCCCACCCACGCTGTTCAGCGTCGAAGTACACATCCGTGAGCCCATCCTGGGGGTGTCATCCGGTAAGCGAGCCCCCACCATCGATGTATCCGGCTGTATTACTCACCTCCAGGGGTGTTCAAGGCAGTGTCGACGCTCAGAGTGACAGCCTGCAAGCGTACAGAACGCGCCTGGGGGCGTGGGAGGGCGTTTCGCGGTTTCGCGGCGGGTACACGTACCAGGAGCACATTAGGGGACGCGGGGAGCCGGGAACCACACCAGTGAGGTAAGCACACACATCGAGAGCTCGTTTCGAGCCCTAACGCTTACCTGTGAGTCTCCAGAGAATGTGGTGGGGGATGGCGAGCAGCCGGCATGACGGCGGACAGTCAAGGGTCACAGCAGATGCCTGCGTGTGTGCGGAGGGTGACAGGACGTATGGGGGCACGCGCATGGGCGCGCAGGCGTCGTGCTGGCACGCGCGACCTTGTGCAGCCAGGTAAGCACCTGCTCTACCTATCCCCATAACTCCCGATACTCACCAGGGCGCCCGCAGTTTGTTTCACAGTGTGGCGCGTCATCACAGCCGCCAACAGGTGGCCGCCGGCGTACGCGTGGGGTCATCTACAGGTGAGCACGCAGATGTTCTGTTTGCGAACTTGGCACTCACCTGCACAGCTGCCAGTAGCATCGTGCGCGGCATCGGTGTACAGCCAGCACAGGGACGTGACACGACGATGCAGCCGTACACGACGAGGGTGCGGCAATGGCCGGCGTACAGCAGCTGACGAGGCCCACTCGGACGTCGCGCAGCGAGCCGCAAACCGCTACACTCTCCTCTGGATTCCTCGATAGCGCGACACCGCAACCGCGTTCCTGCGCCTCCACGCGTACGACACGACTCCGAGGAGCCCATGTGCGCGATATCAACGCCCTAGGACTTCTACGAGGCCGGCTAAGTCTGGAGTTCGCTCCCACAGCCCTCTCCCGGCCCCTCTCTCGACATCGCGACAGCGCGGCTGCGCAACCGCGTCCGGACACCATACACGGCTTGGCACGACTCTCAGGTACCCATGTGGGTAGTTTCGGCTCCGTACGACGTCTATGGCATTTTCAAACTCGGACTTGGCTCCATCAGCCTCCCAGCGCCCTCCCTGGCGATTTCGCAAGAATTCGGCCAGGCGGACGCGTCTCGACAGCACGACCGGTAATGTACGACACAGAAGCTTCTAAGTGCGCGATTTCGGCAGTCCAGGATGTCTACCGCCGGCCCGAGGGTGGACTTGGCTCTGAGCCCGTCCCGGTACCCCGACTCTCCCGATGGTGACTGTGCGCCAACACACCGACACCGTGACGTCCAAGCGGGTTATATGGAATGCCCGAGGTCTACGCTTCTCGCGTGCACGTTTCTGGGGCGATTGGACCTCTGACACTCTGGAGGGCTGGCATCAGCGCCCTTAGCTAGTCCCCGGGCCCCTGCCTCTCCCAATCGCGATTTCGCGCCTCTGCAGCGACACAGCTACTTTCCGATGGCCCCAATAGTACGGTAAGACGCTCCAGACCCTGCATACGCGATTTTGGCGTCCCAGCGCGCCTGCAAGCGGCCCGAAGATGCACTCAACTCCCACGGCCTGGTCCCGGGTCCCCCGCCATCCTTTTTCTTGCTTCCGCCCGTTCGCAGCCATACAACCGCGTGAAAACTGGAGATGCGGTAGGACACGATCCTACACTCTGCTCACGCGCGATTGCAGCGCGCGACACGCGGCTTTGAGTCCGCAAGCTCGGACTTGGCGCTCACGGCCAGTTTGGGTGCCCTGACTCTCCCGGCTGTGATTCCGCGCGTTTACAGCCACTCACCGGTGCTTTGACGCATGTCGTAGCTAGAGAACACTCCAGACGTCCCCCACGCACGATATCAGCCCGCGATGGGTACGTTCAAGTCAGGGAGTGCAGTGTTTGCGCCTACAGCCAGTCTTTAGGCACCCAAGTCTCCCCCGCTCAATTTTGCGATTCACCGACGGATGTGGCCGATTCCGCCGCTTCGACGCGTACGGCAAGATTCCGCGCCATGCTCGTGCACGATTTCAGCGCCCTACGACGACTTCGACGCCCGGGAGGACAGAACTTGACGCTCGCTCGATTTCGCGAAGGCGTGATGATGCGACCGCGTCTTGACGCACTCGACGGATGTGAGCGATGCCAGGCTACGTCCTCGCGCGGTTTCGACGCGCCAGGACGCCTGGGATGTGCACGAGGGGAGTTGTCGGCTGGGCTCAGCTCCCCTAGGCTCTCCCCCGGCCTCTGCGCGAATTCCGCGCGATTGACACGAGGACGCGGCGCGAACATAGCACCCCCAATACCGTACGACCCAACGCGCGTCGAATCGCGCGATTCGGACGAGTCTGGAGCTCCCGCGAGGTGTCCGAGTAGGGGGAGCCCCTTGGGTCTGTTTGCATTCTGTAGCCCGTAGATCTTCTCGCCCCGCCGCGGGACATGGACCTTGTACAGTACAAGTATGATACTATGCAATACAACACGCGTTGCGCGTCGAAAGCGCGATTTGCGAACTTGAAGTCTGGGGCTCCCTGTGCCCCCTGCTCCCAGTCCCGCTCCCCCACTGTGCACGGCCTACTCCCCTACAGGTACCCACTGTCCACCCAGAGTCCATTGATCTCCTCGCAGCCAGTTTCGCCTACTCCGCGCCCCACCCACGGCCCAGACACAGCGCCCGCCCACAACACACGCACTCGTCCCTGCAAACAAAATATGTGTCTGTCTACGTCGGCCTGTGTCCATCAGCTTCTCCTTCAACGCGACCGCGCGCTCATATTTGTCCATTCGCTCGAAGTCCGGCAGCGGCGCCTGCTCTGCAAACCGTATGGGTTGCATGAACATCGCGCTTGCGAACAGGTACGGCGCACTGATGCCCCACTCGCCCGCGACCGCGCTCACGGCCGCAAAGTCGACCGTGAGAAGTGCCTTCCACAGACGCGCGCGTACTGCTGCTGGAACTCGCGCGGGAGGCGTACATACAGCCCGTGGTCGAGCAGAACGAGTTGTGCCGCTCCACGCGAGCCCGTGGTCGAGCAGAACGAGTCGTGCCGCTCCACGCGCGGCACGACGCGGGCCTGAGTGGGGGCGTACTATCACATTCCCCGGGTGCGGGTCGCAGTGCACCCAGCCCCAGTCGAAGATCAGCGCGCTGAAGAGGTTGATCATCGTCTGCATCACCCACTTTGTGCCCCCGCGCAGCGGCGGGACGCGGTCGGCGGCGAGCGGGTCGGTGCTGGAGGCGGAGGCGCGGTCGTCACCCATGAGGTGTGCGATGCCACACTTGTTGCTGAGGCGGACGCCGTCAATCCACTCGGCGGTCATGGTCTACTCGGCTGTGAGGTCAGGGAAGATGCGCGGGATGTAGACGTGGTTGGCAAGGTGGGGTTCGGAGGCGACAAATGTGGCGGTGGTGCGCGCATTTTCAGCCTCGAGCTCGAAGTTGAGCTCACGCTATAGGTGGTTCGTGATGAAGTCGGCACACAGTCAGTGGAGGGCAGCGCATACATGCGAGTGCACTTACCGACAGCAAAGTAAACGGGGAGGTCGTAGACGCATTTTGCGACGTGTTCATGGAGAGCGGGGATCTGGTCTGCCTTGCGGGCGTAAAGTTGAGCTTGTAGCCGGCCGCGATGGCCATGCACTGCGTGTAAAGGTGAGCATGTGAGGGCTAGACACCCGATCCGTGCGCAGCAGGCTACTGACCGTCCACAGCGTCCTCATGTTTCTCCCGATTGCTGACGTATTGAACTCGTGGTCGAGGCTGAATGCGGGACCTGCGGCGACAATGACAAAGGCCGCGCGGCGGGAGTAGCGGTAGGTGCGCGAGACTGGGCAGGTCCTGGCTGTGGTGGAGTAGCTCGATGTGCGGGCAGGATAGGAGAGTGTCGCGGGGGTGAGCCACCGCCATAGAGGGCGGACTAGAGAAGACAGCATGGAGTGAGACATTCAGCGGTCAGCGGCAGGGGCAGCGCATCGCGAACAGAGGCGGTCGAGGGCGCGTGAGCGTGAGGTCGAGGTTGTCGAGTGCGGGGAAGAAGGCGCCCAGTGACGCACTTGCCCAGCACCTCGGCTCAGGTTAGGGCTCCGTACCCATCTTGGCTGGGATTGCTCTCGCATAGATCACGCTCTGCTCTCTCGCCGCACTCTGATCTCTGTCTTGCTCCTCTACTCGTGTCTGAGCCTCTGGCTTACTCTTGCATTCACTCGCTCACTGCCGCTCCCTCTGGGGCACATCCCTCCGTTGCCCGTGCACTGGGAGTCGGTCTGGCTGCTCTGGGCGCCCCTGCGACCGCTCTCCCATTCCATTCTCGCTCTCTTTCGGGTACTGGACCCCTCCGCTGCTGCTAGAACACTCAGGCGACCCACAAAGACTGCTCTGGACGCCACAGCTCGCGCTTTTCGCCTCTGGCATATGCACATCGCCTCCCTCGGCCTCGGAGTCGTCCTGCAAGCTCCAGGACGTCTCCTGCTCGCTCCCCGGCGCTCTCCCCACACCTCCGGGACAGCCGGGGCCATCCAACGTCGCTCTATGCGACGCCCCGGACGTCTGAAGCCTGCGCTCTACGCTCGAGCTGCCGCGCCCACTCGACGGTGGCCTCTTTCACCGGAATAGGCGCACAAGTGCGCCCCTCTTTGGCAGCTCTTCAACGGGTGCGTACGCGCCCTATCCACATCCACTAATAAAAAGAGATTTGTTCCTGATGTCTATTACAGCAAGGAAACGTCGTTTGCAGCCGGAACACCCCCACGGTTCGCGCAGAACACAATGGTGCGCCCACGGGAAGCACACACCCCAGCAGGCCTCAATCTCTGCGGACCGGCCGCCGTTCTTCAAGATTCGCATCGGCAACCTGTACAGCAGTCAGTTGTCGAGCCTATAGACGATTACCGACGAGCTGACACACCAGGTACCAGGCGTCCGCGCTGAGGGAGCGGTGCGAGCTCCCGCGAACCCGCTGGGCTGCAAACACCGCGGAGACAGTGCTCTACTGCACCTGTCTATTACATACGGCTACGATACGGCTCCACCGGCCTCCTGCTCTCTCCAGCCCGTACCCACGCCCGTACACGCCGTCAACACTTGCCGCGGCCTCGTTGACCTCGCGGCGCAAGCCTGTCAATCCCGTAAGTCAGCGGAACACTCCCGACGCGAGACGACTGAACTCACCATTTGTGGGCACCTCCACAGGCATCTGGATGGTGGCTTTAGAACATCGCGCCCGTACACACCCTCCATTCCTCACTCGCATTGCCGTGCGCCGTACAAGTCAGCGGACCCGGAACGCCCGCATGCGGCTCGGTGCAAAATGTAGTGCCAAGCCTGAAAATGACAAGCCCGTACTGGCAAACCCCGTGCAGTTAGGAGCCCATGCTCGTTTCTAGCCCTACACCAACTCTCAGCTCTGTCGCCCGCGATGCCCCGCCGGCGACAATCGTCAATCCGCCCGTCGACCCACCGTGAATATGCTCGCGAGACCGCTAACGCGCCGCTTGCGTCCTGCGTGCGCCATGTGCGATTTAATGTCCTTTTTCGACTTCCTCCGTCTCTCTCCGCACCTCACCTCGAGCGGCACACCAATGCACTGTACTATTTGATAGCTGCGACGACGTGTTCGCTTTTGGCAAGTTTTCAGCTTCTGCCACGACGATTCGCACTGACAGCGTCAGATTTGCAGTCCACCTGCGCGGTAATTCGCCCACGCCCACGCTAGATTGCATGCGGCGGCATGCTTTTGCGCGTAAAAGACGCACGTACATGTCGCCCGGACGTGCTGACGACGGCGCTCGCGGCGCCGCGGTGAACTCGTCCCGCTGGCGGCCTCTGCGTATCCGGCTCGCCCGCGACCTCTGCATCCCGAGGGGCCAACCGTGAACTTCCACACCCACGCCCCACAAGCTCGATATGCGCTCGCTGCACCCAGAGCAACACACCGTTACGTGTGCTAAGGTGCCGTCGACGTACTCCGCGGGCTACGCCCGGTGCACCCAGCGGCCCCCAGCAGCCCTCCACCCTCTCTGCCACCACCCCACTTCGACGAGCGCACGTATGTCGCTCACGACGCTGTAGAGGCTGTGCTAGCCTTCAACCGTGCGCGTTTGTAGCTCCCTCCGATGCGAACTACACTGACAGCGCCTGATTTATAGACCTCCCGCGTGTCGAAACACGAGCGCCCCCGCCACCTCGCACGGCGCGCCCTGCGTGAACAGTACAAACCCCGCGCATACATCGTCCCCGCATGCCCACGACGCCGTTTGCGGCCCGGTGCAGAACTGCGGCGCCCCGCACACGCGCTCAACAGTGCCGCCCACCACCCGAGCCCCGCGACACCCCGCCTATCCGAGTTGGCTATATGCCTATAGCACCCGCGCCTACACGCTGGCAGACGCGCGAAGACGCCGCACACGTCCTCCGCGCGCACCGCCCGCCACCCCGCTGCCGTCCGCCGCAGTCTCCCGCCTCGCCACATTCTGCCCGGCACCCCTGAAACATCGACGAAACTATCGTCGCGATGCTTCTCACCCCCCAGGTACGTGCACAGGCCCGCCCGCCACGAACTCCGATGCCAACGCGCCGATTACAGCGCGCCCGCACACAAAATTACCGACGCCCCGGCCTTACCGCACAATGGCCCTTGCCCGCGTTGTGCCGAGCGTGCGCATACACCGTCGGAGTACGCCCACGACGTCGTTTGTGGGGCAATGCAGAACTGCGGTGTCAGCATCGTCGGCACTGCGCGCCTGTCGCTGGTGCAATACGGACGTCTGCCGCCCGCGCGCCTCAATGCCCCCGTTCCGGGGGCTGGACATATGCGCATTAGACGTCCGTGAACACGGTGTGAAACGTGCGGAGACGCCCCATGCGTACTCCACGAGGGGCGCCGTGGGCAAGACAGGCTCCCCCAACGCTACGTCGACCCCTCCTCCCGCCCAGACACCTCCGTCGACCGCTGTCAGCTGTATGCAGCTCAGTGAAAGCACCACAGATCTTGTACCAGGCAAGATTTCAGCTGATACAGACGTGATTTGCGCTGACAAAGTCGAATTTTCAGATCGCCGCGCATACAAGAATGCGGAGAACTCACACGAGGCTCTCCGTCTAGGCCCGCATACACCCTCACCAGTCCCAGAGGGCGGCCCTCCACCATCCGCGGCGATGCCCGGGCCGTGCAACGGCGTTGAGCGAGCGCACTCGACCGCAGGCCCCGACACTCCAGGCCAGGTCCGCGCACATCTCCCCGGAGGCGACACCGCGTTTCCCAGATACTTCAGACGTGTGCGGCACGCCCACAAAAGGCGCGCCCCGCGAGCACAGCCACGTCGCGCACTTCCTGCGCGTCGCACGCCTCCGACTCTGCGGCCCCGCCGCCCGCTTGCCGCCCCTCTCGCGCTCCGCCACCACGTCCGGCGCGCTAGCCAGCACGACAGAACACTCCGGTGCACCGGGGCGCATACAACCACGCGATTTCTCGGCGATCCGGGAAGAAAATATATGTCTCGTCGAGGCCGATTTCATTGGCGAAACCGGCGACCAGATCAAAGAGGCCCGTCTCGCGGCCGCCCCTCCCGTCCGACGGCTACGAAACTTGGCAGAGATGTGCTCGTGCACGTTGCGCATCGGCTGCCGCCGCACGCAACCGCGCACGAGCGATCCGGAGCTCGCACTCGCCGCGGAGGCTTCTTCGACACCCCGTCGCCCGCGGCATCACAACTTTGTCGGCGCGTGTCCTCAAGACCCGAAACGCGACAAGAGGTGCGTGTACATCACGTACATGACATTCACGATACGGCCACGATGCCATCGCGCGCGGAACGGGCTCGGCGAAGTACGAGGTCACCCCCAGCCCCCGACTTGCCGCCCCCCTCGCGCGCTGGCATCGTGTCCGGGCCGCGTAAAAGCACTATTGCGCCCTCCCATGGAACAGGACGCACCCCCACGCGGAGTCTCGGGGCGATACGACGAGATTGAAAATCGCGTCGTGGGCGCGATTTCATGGGCAATCTCGCGGCGAGATGGCAAAAATGCGCGTCCCCGCCCGCCCACGCCTCCTCCCGCGGCGCCGTTTGGCACCAGCACCCCCGTACACTCCCTGCACCGTGCCCTGCTGCGTTCGAACGCATGGGACAAGTTCGAAGTTTGACGCTGGGTTCGGGAGACCATGCCGTGCAGCGACGCCGAGGCACCGCCGGCGCGGTCCACCGAGCCCCGCAAGCAAAGCGCCCTTCGTACACACCACAGAGACGGTGTGCACGCGGCGCAGACGCTGTCCGGGTACGCGCAAAGTGCGTGGCAAGCGCGAAAAGTACGCGATCGTCTTACCTCGCATGCGCCCATGCTGACGACATCCCCAGGACGCCGCTCACTTGTTTGTGCGCAATCTCGTGCGCCTGCCCTCCGGCTGCGCACGGCCTCCTACGGTCCGCGAGCGGGCGCACGAGCCGGATGAGAGCACCCGGATGGCAAGGGGACGTCCATCGCCGCCGTGCCCGCTATCGTCCCCGCCGCCCGAGACGGTCTGCAGCTATGTACCTAGCTATGTACTAATGTAATACACTCCTTCGAGCCAACCTGCGCCCTCCCTTTCCCGCCATCTGATTCCCCCGCCGCATCGTGGTCTCCAGCGCGCGCCCCGCATCCATCTTGGCGACGCGCCGCGGTCGTCGAGATGCCGCGCGCATCGCAGCATAGGCCTGCGGCGACGCGTCGTTGCGCGTTCCTGTCGCGTAATGGGTCAGTCGTGTGGGCATGAAGCGAGATCCGGCGCGCTCACCTTTGAAGGCCGCGGTCTCGACTCAATCCCGGGGCGGATGTGGTGAAGGTTCGAGGGCGTGTCTGCTGCTCGCGGCAAGGTGCAGGCGGCCACGACGGGGACGATCCGAAGAGGTGAGCGGCAGTTGTGCTCGGTGTAGGCGACGAGCTGACTCACCGTGTGCAGGATAGTGCGGAGGGACGCCCGCCGCCGTACGTCCTTGTCCTCGCAGCAGGAACCCCCTCCGAAGCGAACGGGTACGCGCTCGGACACGCCCGCCTCAATGCAGACCTGTCCCGGGGCACGTATACATATCGCGAATGGCTGCGCACGACGTGCACGAAGACGCGGAGCGCCGCGGAGTCGTACTGCGCCTGCGCCTGCGCCGTATGCCTGCGTGTTCGCCCGCGTGAAGCTCGCTGCGGCCCTCATCGCTCCCCGTATGGTGCGGATGTACATGGTACTGATATGCGCGCCACCGACTCGCCCGCCACGCACGCGCCCTCGCCCGTCGCGCCTTGATGTCGAGGTCGTTGAAGGTGAAGTCGACATCCCTCTCGCGACGTCGCGCTGGGAGCAACAAGGTCAGCATAGTCTTACAGCGTCGGGGTCTCAGCCACCATACTTGTATCTGTTCCATAGGTTCCACAAGTCGGCCGCCACGAGGACTCATGCAGGTTTCTGGTTCTTGCGAAGAGGACCTGGTTGCAATGGAAGAAGTAAGTATCGGGCAGCTCGGTCGCCGTTTCGACTCACCTCAGGTCCGAGCAGTGCTCTTCGGCACATACAGGGTGCTTGAAATGCTCGTCTCGGCGGTCTCGTGCGAGCAGGAGTTGCACGCCATAGGCGGCGTTGAGGTAGAGGGTGCTCACCGTGAGGGACGGACGCTGCGGAGCAATGTCAGCGAGTGCGATAATAAAGTATGAGTACTTCACCAGGGTCCGGCAGGGTGGCCCGCACACCACGCACCGAGGCAGCAAACGGGCCCGCTCACGCCCTGGTGCAGTGCGAGCGTCTGCGTCCCGCACGCCACGCACCGAGGCAGCAAACGGGCCCGCTCACGCCCTGGTGCGGTTCGAGCGTCTGCGTCCCGCGCGCCACGCACCGAGGCAGCAAACGGGCCTGCTCACGCCCTGGCGCAGTTCGAGCGTCTGCGTCCCGCACGCCACGCACCGAGGCAGCAAACGGGCCTGCTCACGCCCTGGTGCAGTTCGAGCGTCTGCGTCCCGCACGCCACG